GAACCAGACTTTGCTTTGCTTTCAGAGTGAATAAATATTTTCCCCCCTCAGTCAGGGGAGGTCAGTCTGCACAGTGACGGGTCACAAAGTACAAACTGGCTTGTACAAATAACTACTTCAAGAGGGTGATTCAACAGCACTCCAGACATTTGTTTTCCTCTTTTTAAAAGAATTCTTCTATATTTTAGTTTTAAAATAAAGTGAGAGCAAGAAGGATTCAGAATTTAAACTAGTTCAGTCCAAACACAAGAATATGAACTGTGTGGTTTGGCAAACATTTATTTGCAATGGCAACGTATTTCAATATACACCCTACAAGAAAATCCAACGTCTCCACAGCCATGCAGGCAGTCAGCTGGCCAAAATGAAAGGAGGCGATGACATCATGTGCAGTGTGAGGTCTTGGCAGAACAATTGAGCAGGCCAACATGGCAGCATGATTGTGAAAGGTCAGAGCAGCAGTGTAAACATTTGCTTGCGGTTTTTGTCGAACGAAACCTGTTTATCATACTGTATGTTATTGCTTTAACTTTGTAACATGTTCGGGGGGTGGGGGAGGTTCTGGAGCATTGAGGTAATACAAGCTTGCGAAAGAGGAAGAAACTATTCACAAAATGGTCTGTATGCATTGGCTTGGCCTTGTCTCAAGACATATTTTAAGTATGCTGAACTTGAGTGACAGACACAGTTCTAAAGGATGACATTAAACAAAATGTGATTTACAGTAATTTTCAGCACATTGAAAAAATCAGAGCCACCTCACTGATGGTAAAATTATGCTTTTTGCTTTTTAAAAAAAGTTTTTTTTAAAAACTTTTGTAATAAAATAACACAAAATAATTTTTTTAAAATTCTTGTAGATATTTTCGACTGCATCTCCTCACTAAAACGTAACATCCTGAGCACCAAATATACCTTCTGCCCTTGCTTGGGTATAAAGTTTGCTTTTAAAGTAACCCTTTCAAAAGTCAGCATTTGGTTTGTCCGTGTGTCCTTTGTCCAAGAATCATAACAGGCTCAAAGGACTCTATTGGTTTAGTTCTACCAATCAACCCCGATTATGCTGGTGTCTACATGCTTCCTGTTCTCCTCATCAGACTTTGGTGTCTCCTGGATCAGCTCCACGGGTCAGAGCTGTGTTTCTGGTTGTAGTTCTGCAGCTCGATCTGGTCTTTGATCTGGTTCATCAGAATCTGAGACAAAAGCATTCCAGCCAGCTGCAAACCAGAAAACATGACAGAAGGTTGAACATGTGTCTCTTCTATTAGAAGCTGTGTGAGTGTTGGTATGTAATCTTCTACCTGTGGTATAGCCAGTCCCAGCGCAATGCCTCCTAGTAAGAACAGGTTGCTGTGGATCCAATCAACTATTTTGTCTATGCAGCCATTGGTGTGAATGCGGTTTCCAGCCTCGATGTAATCCAATTCCTGAATGTTGTGACCGCACATGGTGTTGATTACCTGCCCGCAAACGAGCACACAGTTAAAACGCATGAAAAACAACAAAAATGAACCACAAAAATCAGAATCAGCATATTCTTAAAAGCAAGTTCACCGTGTCATTTCTTAAGATACAGCAGGAAAAGGGGACAGAGCAGCGTTCTCGGCTGGGGTTGTCCTTGCTGCAGTTGAAATACATGTTCTGTGACCAGTCCAAGTACCTCAAAGCACCACAGCAGTCAAACTGATGAGACAGAAGAGATCAGAAGATGGAGTAGCCACCTAAAAGGCTGCCATCACCCCAACAATTCCACCTTCAGGCTAAATCCTTACCTCTTCCTGACCAAAATCAATAAGGTTTTGCAGATCAATATCATCTCTGTAGTGGACAATGGCATTGTTGATCACTTCGGTCACTTTACCTCTTGCCTTGAAAGAAAAATGAAAAAGTATTTTATGGATAAAAAAAAAGTAAATAAAACAATGAAATAAATCTAGAATAATATGGACAAAGTGCAGCAGAGGGCGCTCTCATCTTATAATACACAACCTCTCTCCCTGTGTGTGTTGTTTGCTTCGTTGGCTGCCAACTCTGACAAGATCAGGAGTTTGGAGCAACCAAACGTGGCACACATGTACATGTTAGGGCCTTGAAGAGTTTCATCTCC